CCTTTCCCTCTTAGCTGTTTTACTGTCTCTTTTGAATGGTGTGTAAACATGGCTTCTCTCTTTGTGTCTATTGATGGCTGATCTGTCTGAATTCCCTAGCATTTTTTGGAATTGGCTTGGTCTTAGAGGCTAACAATTTCCCAGTTGAAACTGTGGTTGAGTCTGTCCATGTGTTAAGGAGTTTTCATTGTGTCTTCTGACTGCTGGTTGGAGTTCATGGATGTGCTCTGCTAGTCTTCTGCCCATCTGTCCTACATAGTGGCTGGTACAGTCCTTGTAATGTATACTGTAGATGACTCCTGTTTTTTCTTCTTGTGCTACTGGGTCTTTTGGTTTGCTTAAGATGTTTTGGAGGGCTTTAGCTGGTTTGTGTGCTGTGGTGATGCCATGCGGTTGTAATAGTCCGTTGATGTATGGGGGTGTTATCCTTTTCATAGCTTGTGCTGGTTATGCTGTAGCGGGTTGGGTGGTCAGGCACTTTTTGATAAAGTTGCGTGGGTATCCATTTTGTTGGAAGATGTTGTATAGAGGGTCTGTTTCCTTTTCTAGTGTTCTGGGTTGCTGCAGTGTGCTTGTGCTCGTCTGAACAATGTTCCTACAAAGCTCCTCTTGTGGAAGGTTGGGTTGTTACTTTGGTAATGGAGCCCTTGTTTGGTGTGGGTGGCTTTTCAATAGATTTGCGTTTCTAATTTGCTGTTATTTCTTCTGCTGATGAGGATATCCAGGAAGGGTAGCGAGTTCTTCTTTTCTTCTTTCTTTGTGAATTTTAGTCCTTTGACAATTTGTTGATAGTTTCATCTGACTTCTCTAGTTGTTCCTTTTTTACTATGATGGTGTCATCTACATACCGGGTCCATACTTTTGGTTGTACGCATGGGAGTGCTATGGCTTCTAGGCATTGCATTAGAGTCTCCACCATGAGTCCTGAGAGTGGTCATCCCACGGGTGTTCCTCTGATTTGATGGTGTACCTGTCCATCAAACTGAAAGTAGGGAGGGAGGCAGAGGTTGACGGGTTCTTGTGATTCTGGGTATTACGATCTTAGTGTATTTGGCTAGGTTGGTGTGTTTTGTAATACTGCTGCCATGAATTCTTTCGCTAGTTCTGGATCTATGAACATAAAGAGTGCTGTGGCATCGAACGAAACCATAATTTCATCTTCTTCTATTACTAGGTCTTTGATTTTCTGGAGACACTGCAGCTGGGAATTCATAGAATATTCGCTCTCCTCTGTGAGAGCTTTTTTGTAATTTCTTTGGCTATGTTTGTTTGGCATTTAATACAATGTTTGTTTGGCATTTAATACTGACATTTAAGCATCTTTTTCTAAAAAAACCCGTTCAAGCTATTTTCAGACAGCATGGTTTTATTAGAAGTCTGACATCCTTCACAATGGGACTGTGTAAAATGAGTACCTGATTACCCTTTCTGCTAAATTTCTAATAAATGCGTTCAAAATCTTACACAGTATTTTATAGTATTATTCAGCCTCCTATCCACAGCTAGGAAGAACTAAAGTTTATTGCAGACGTACAGTATTTTAAACAAAAGTGTGGAATGGAGTGTGGGGGGAATTAGTGATTTAGATTTCAAAATGGGGAGGGGCTTGTTCATAAGTAGGGGGGGGAGAAAAGAACAGCCGAAGGAAAGATGTTGTGAAAGAAAGACCCTGTAGGTGAGACACATTTTGCCTGTAAGCAAATGAAAGCCCCCTTCTTCTTGCACACAGGCTTTTTCCATTTAATTGGAAGGTGATGGACAAAATGAAATAGCAATTGTTTCTCTAAGGAACGGAGAGTTCAACCTGTTGATCATTTACAATAGCAGCCTTCCTGGAATGTAGTAAGCACAGTCCTTGAATTCTTTCACCAAACCACTCTTGCTTTAAAATAATAATAATAATAATAATAAATCTCAAGGCCAGAGCACCGATGGAAAGAAAAGGATCGATTCTCTTCAGGTGGCTTCTGCAGAGCAAAGCCTCCCCTTGATTTCAAAGGCAGAAGGGTCCACACAGCTGCACCAACACAGCAGAGACAGCTTCTGATGGTTCAATCAATGTATCTCATTTTAAATCTCGCGAAATCAAAGGGCGACACTCATAAGTTAATCTGTGCAAGAGCTGAAGTTTTGTCTTTCAACAAGCTCAGAAGTCCAATCCTGAAAGAGATTATACAGTCTAAACAAGGGGCCCCACAGATTCTGAAATGCAGATTTAGTGAATTTTGATATTAAGAAATATCCAGTGATTCCCTATTACACTTTCTTCTCAGTATGCAATTCGTGGTTGAAAAGTGATCCAGTAAGTTAAAAAAAACTTAGTGGAAAACAACATTAACTTCTATATTCGGGTATTAAAATGACATTAAACGAACTGGAACCCCAAACTCTCTTCAACCTTCCAGATTGCTATCTTCCCTTCTTCCTTTCCAGCTCCGCTCAGAACATATCGATCCTCTGCAGAGCATAAGGACTTCACCACATCAGTGTGTCCAACCAACTCTTTTTCCACCAATTTTCTTTCCATATCCACCACGTAGACCTTTCCTTTGATTTTGCCTTGGGAAAGTCCTCGGCCACCAACCCACATCTGGAAAGAAAATAAAACATTTAGAACATGCATCTACTAGAGGTGGGTGGCAATCCATACCGAAGGGGGAGAAAACTCGGACGGTGCACGGGTGGGCCTGTTACACCTTGGTGCTTCCTTAAACTAAATACTCCTTTTGCAGCAGACACTCAAGTCTAGGAAAAGATGGAGCTTCTCTAAGGTATTGTGACATGAGCGCATCCGTACACCCCAGATCACCTTTTCCCCTTCGAATATGGATCTCTCATGGTCCTAACATCCATACGTGCAAAGCAAATATGTTTTTATTTGCCATCTAGCCATCTGTCCGTCCATCCAACCATTCACCCATCCAACCATCTCTCCATGGTTATCACATCATTTATTACACTACCAACACCAACAGCAGAAAAGGGAGTTTCTTTAGCAACATTGAAGGGTAAAAATGAGCATCAACTAGCTTTTCACCAGATACCCACGTTCTAGTGGGTCTTTCTATGTTCTCCCTTTTCAGCAGGGTGTTTTCTGTAAAGGCCAACGTCTGTAGACCCCACTCCCCTTTCTTTGTTTGTGAAGGCACTTCATTGAAATAAGGGCATACAGAATGGCAATGCAGGCAAACACTCTGAGCTCTCTTTGGAGATTGCCAACAAAAATGTGAAAAATGTACAACCTCAAAGAAGCACATTGTATAGACATCGTATTGGGTATCACTGAAAACATGACTTGAGCCACGCTGAACAGTTGACCGCTCTATCTCACCAAGGATCCTCCCAGTCGCTTGAAAGAGTAGGCAAACTCTAAGCCCATGTTATGGTAGCTTAACCAAACGCAACAGCCTAAATCTTGGCTCAATCCCAAGGTATGGCTGGCTGGGGAATTCTGGGAGTTGAAGTCCACACATCTTAAAGTTGCCAAATTTGAAAAACTCACAGAGCTATATTATGTCACACCCTCATACTAGAGGTTCCCTAAAAAGGGGAAACTATTTCAGTATCTATTCCTTGATTTTACACCTGGAGGTAGGATACAATGGTAACACACTGCCTCCTAGTGGGTAAGCCATGTGTAAAACCACAGATACCAGAAGTCTGGCCCCATAGTAGATGATTTATTATATAAATTACATTAAATGTTCAACGTGGTTGCCACTTTCTTCTAAACACTTCCTTACTCCTTTGAGGCAGAACCTCTGAACAATGCTAAGTGCAGTAACATTTTCTCCTGGGGGAGGAAATATTAATTAACAAAACACGTTGCAACTGGCCTATGAAAGCCGACTCTTGGTCCACCCTGTATTTTCTAAGCCAAGCGTTGGACTCCTGGTCATCCATATTCCACGATCCCCTCATTCTGCCCAGAATCACTAAAAAAGCCAGCCAGACGAATCCCTACATGTTTGACGTACCTGGTTTTTCACTTTTATCATGCAAGTGATTTCCGAACAGTCTTGCAGGCTCATCTTCTGCGAGGGGGTAGACGGATCCGCCATATTCCAGATAAAGAGCTCACTGCTGCCGGCACACGAAGCCCACACTTCATCACTCTAAGGCCAAAATGAGGGAAAAGTGCATAATTGTACAGAATATTCTGGACGGTGGACTTGGCTTGAAGCTGCAACAGTCTGTTTAGAATTACAACCATAGGATTAGTTACCTCAGGAAACAACTGGAAACAGAGCAAGGGCGTAAGGAGTTCGGTTGCCATGTTGTCCAGTTTCACCTTTTGGCGAACAAGCCCATTTGTGGTGACTACAAGAATGCAATCCTGTACACCTTAAAAAACACACACACAGAGTTCAGGACTTGAAATAACGCCATCAGGACAGACGGTGAGATGAGACAAAAGGCGAAAAGCAAGAGAGCTCTAAACAGTAAATACGATCTTAATGCCATCCAGTAAAATCATGGGAATGAAACCGGGTGGTTGCACAATAAAAACTTTATTTCTACTTTTCCTTGCTTTAACAGACATGGCTTTAATATTTCTAAAATGTGGTAAATTAGCATCCTTGTTAAAGCAGGACTTCGGTTTCAAAAAGTGGCAAGGTTGGACCTGGTGGATGGGACACCACCAGGAGATCCTAGGGCTATAGAATAGACAAGGAAGTAAAAAGACATCCAGGAAGACAAAAGCAAACCACTTCTGTACTGCTGTCAAGAAAACAGCATGGATGTGTCCATGAAGTCATCAGGAGTTAACTCAACAGAGACTTTCTCTTTATCAAACAGGAGGACCCTGATACTCTTATTACATCGTCTGTCAATTCTGTAGCTTATGCAGGAAAATTATCGCCGTAATGGTCTCTGGCAATGCACTTAAGCATCCCATTTGTGTTTCAGAAGGCCACAGGTGATCTACGCATAGGGGAATCTGGGTGGGAGGGAAGGAGGGAGGTTCCATCTGTGGCTGCCGGCATCTTGACTTTAAAAAGGTCTTGTCTAAAACCCCCCCCCCACGCACACCAGTCTACACAACTGGTTTGCCAGGAAAAGCATGGCAAGATGGAAGAGGCCACTGGCTGGGATGCAAGGCAAGCAGTGCCCTTTTAATGGAAAGTATTTTAGAAGACAGCCAGGCGCAACACAGAAAACTCACAGCACCAAAGCCGATTCTTGTAGAACTGAATCGAAGTCACCATTTCGCAGGACAGCTGGAATCGGCGGTTCACTCTCAACGTGCTGATGTTCCAGGCGATCACCGTTCCGTCCACGCTGCAGGAATACGCCTCGCTGCTCAAAGGGCAAGGGGTTAAGAGACACACCTTACACACCTACGTAAAAATCAGCACGGCAGATCCAATCTCTACTGTGGCTTCAGTCCAACTCCCAAATAACTTCTGCTGGCTGGCTGGGGAATTCTGGGAGTTGAAGTCCACACATCTTAAACTTGACAAGGTTGAGAAACACTGCCCGAATGGCTTAAGGGCAGCTTTGGGAAACGTAGATTTTGTGGTAGAACTGATGAAGCCAGCCCAGTGGGCTTGCCCCTATTATAAAATGGTCCTACCTAGGTATCGTCCACCTGCACATACTGTGAACACTGGAAAGCAGTGTGTTTTGAAAGTTTAAAACTCTTTGATTTTTTTTTTAAAAAGTTTAAACTTCTTGGTTTGTAAGGAACCACTTTCCAGGCCCTTCAGGACATTTTAAAGGCAGCTAGGAGAATCTCTTGCACCTCTCAGCATTCATTCAAAGACCATTCGGCTGGAAATTACACCATCGCAGAAAGGAGTCCCCAGGCTACCTGCACCTGAGACTCAGACCAGTCCTCGGCCAGTTCTAGACTATCTAAATCAGATAATCCTGCCACTGGCTCCTCCTGATGTTCATCCTCTGGATTTTTAATAAGGGCCACCCCTGTGTCCTCCACCCACCTGGGTACAGTCTCTCTGTTCTCCACAATGATGTCCACAACTTCAAAGCGATGGTCATTCAGTTGCTTATTGCAAGACATGCTGTGGGTGTTGATCAAATAGATGACGGAATCTGCAGAACCGATCCAAACTTGACTTTGTTCTGCCATTATCATACATTTCTGCGGGAGGGAGGGAGGGAGGGAGGGAGGAAGGAAGGATCAGTCATGTAATGCAAAAATTCTCAAGAGCCTACTTGACTTTTCCCCCCTTCTGTTTACTAAAATATATTAATCTACTTGTACATGGGGAATATTAGTTATTTCAATACATTAGTTATTTCAATATATTGCTTGATATAATGGGAGGAGGGCTGTTCAACCTAATATCCCTAAGTTGCCTGGATTGTGTAAATACAACCTCTGTTCCCTATAAACCATAATTTACAGCTTAGCGTGAGATGTGAACCCAGTCACCAATTCTCCAGCAGCTGATCTTTCTTAATTAAAATGGAGTGTTTTCCAGAGCAGAAACTTCCACTAATTATGAACAGTGCATGTAACTGCTTTCATGCATGTCGTTTTAGAGAGGGAGATCCCTAGAAGAAGCATGGTTTTCTTCAGGAGAGGCCGGAGAAGTACACGTGGTCCTTCCCCTCCTAGGGCATTAAACAAGGAAGGCCACTGTATGGGAAAGCACATTCACCACAGACTCCTTGCCTACTCCTGGCCTTTCCTGCCAATCAGCAACCTACTATCAACTTAAGGAATTGTATTACTAGTACAATGTTTCTCAACCTCAGCAACTTTAAGACGTGTGGACTTCAATGCCCAGTATTCCCCCAGCTGGGAATTCTGACAGTTGAAGTCCACACATCTTAAAGTTGCTGGGGTTGAGAAACGCTGTACTAGAAGTAAAAATAAATGGGCCAATGTAAAGCCTTGTCTGCTAAAACAAATGAAAACAATAAAAACAGGGTAGGTACTTGAGAAGTTTGAAAGATGTCTAAATATTATTTTAAAACTCAACTTCTGTGATAGTTCCACCATCAATGTCACCTACCAGTTTAGAGGTCCCCACTTTAAAGCAGTGCTGTAGAGACCACGTTGATGCATCAAAGACCACCACCTTTCCCCCATTCAAAGCGCACCATAATTTTGGATGGGCATCTCCATGCTTTTCTGTGGGTTCCAGCTGCCCTAAAAATTGGAGAAGTATGTTACACACTTGAAATCAATGAAAAAAAATGGCATTCCCAAGATTTGCACTAGCCAAGAAGGCTCTGCTGTCAACCCCGTTGGTCCAGCCTGTACAACGGGCAACTGAAAGTAACTGCAGCAACACTTTTGATGTTGCATCAAGGAATGCTACCGAAGCATCTTCCCTGCTCCTTTATGATGACATCTTTTGCTGAAGTACCTTCTCATGTTTATAAAGCATAGAGCTTGGATTCTGAACAGATCCCACAGCAGACTCAACGTTGGCCTTCAGTAACGAGCCAGGGATCCAATCTCCCCTCCCAGCTGTGAAGCTGGATGGGTTTAGGCATGTCTCTGCCTAGACCAGTACCTGGGACAGCTGTTGAGAAACCAGTATACCCCCATTCTAATAAATGTAGAGTGGAGAGTAGGTTACATCATGAGGTGAAGCCACCTCCAATTCCATACCTGGTGTATAAAGCAAGACTTCCACTGCTTGTGGGAAAGTTTCACCAGCTGATGGGTTGATCTTGTGCTTTAGTGTTTCAGACGTTGTTTTGGGAACCATCATGGGCACTGGACCAAATAGGAGACATACATTTGTAAAGGTTTTTATAGGGCCAAAAGGAAAAACTTACAGACAGAACTGAGAGAAGGTAGATTGGACTTTTCTAAGGTCTCCATAGAGAAAACCATCTGAATGGTCCACAGCAGCCCCTGGTCTCCGGCATAACAAGGCCAGGCTAGGAGACATAATGGTCGCTCGCAACTCTGCATTGGGGCTACAGTCCAACACAGGAGTATAAAGAGGATCACATACTTCACCCTGCCAAAAGACTGTATCTAACTATCACCCAGCTCACCTTCATTCTTCATCCTGTCAAAGTAAGATAGCTTTGAAGCTGCATATATTATTTTGGAGGACTGCAGTGCACCTACTACCGCATCCATTAGAAGAACATTGGTAAGTGCTTGTTGAAGGTACTGTGGATCCTGAAAGTGGAGGGGGTGGGATGGGGGTGGGTGAGGGAGGGAGGGAGGGAGGAACAAAACCATGATTGCAACTTGCCCATACTGTGTCTACAAGATTCCATTTTTCACATTTCCCCCCATTTACACTTGACCATGTATGAAGTTCTTTGGCAGTGCCACTTAACATAGAATATTCTGTATATCATAAATCCAAATCTGAATGCAAAAATGAAGAATTTATTTCATAAACTAGAACTCTGCATTCTGGGGGAGTGGAAGCACATTTTGGGGGTCCTGAAAAAGACAAATTCAATCAAAATCTTGAATGTAATCAGTTAACTCCTTGGATCCAAAGGCTAATCAATACAATTGGGTAATAACAGCAGAAGGAGCTGCTTGAGACAATCCAGGGAGATGTGATACTTGACAACTTTAAAAAAACACTCCTTGGAGATTTCTTGGAAAACTGAACACTCAGAAACTATCTATTCTGCTCCTGGTGCCCTTCCATTTCTTGTTACTTCATCTACAAAGCCATTTTTGTAATGTTATGATTCTGATGTTACTTGTGTTGGGTCAGGATAAAATCAGATCCAGGAACATAAATGTTGCAAGGAAGAAAAAGTGGGAAGAACTGCAGATATGAAGCTTTTCCAACAGTTGTTTGAACTACAGAGAGAGATGTCAAGTTCATTAATATGGAAGCCTTGGATGAAAGTTGCTCTGCTTGCTTAATTATTAATCTTGCCATCTGGAAATGGCACGTTAAATATGAGAAGATTGCAAATGCATAAAAATATTTTTTAACCACTGCCAGTGTAACATCCTAACCTTGTGATTGTCTGCCATTTTCTTCCCAGCCCACATCTCTTTCACCATCAAGTACCAAAGATCGCACTCGGACTTAAGATTTGCTTCAAAAACGTCCTTTTTGGACTTGACTTTTATCTTCAGGGTAGGAATCCTGAGAAGCAGAAAAGTAACTGTGGTATTCTTCACTTCCTGCAGGAAGAAAACACAGAAAAGAGGGAGCTGAAAACCCCAATGAGGCAACACACTGTTCCGTTTGCATCTTTTCTCGTGGCCCTTCCCTCCCCCAAACTCTCATGGGGCGAAGAAGGCAATTTGATGCTCTCCAGATGTTTTTGCTACAAATACCACGAGCTCAGCCTGTTGAGGAGTTAGATTCTAACACATCTGGAAGTCCCTCAGTTGCCTGCTCTGCATTTTTCAGTGCTCCAGAACTGTTCTCCCTCAAGCCAGGGCCCACTGGACCCAGCCCTCCATTATGGGAGGGACACATCCTGATTTGCACAGGCATGTCAATGTATAAGAGCAGAAATGACGAATGCTCACTTTAGTTATTTTACTGGTTTGGAATTGTGGACCTGTCCACATTTAAGCCAAGATCAAAGATACATTTCAACCCAGAGGGAGCATTCTTCAGATCCATCATTGCTGGCACTTGAATTGAGAGGCTCCAGAAGGAAAAATCATTAGTGATGCTTTTTCCCCACAAGGAATTAAATTCATCTATAAGAACAAAGTTGGGGCAATGAAGCACTTCCACAATTTAGCTCCACCCTGTTATTTTAAACAGCAAATTCTTATCCAGGTGGCTATGGAAGGAGATCCTAATTCAAGACTCAGCAGGGTGCTGAGGATACATCAAGGGGCCTGGAGAATCATTCTTACATACAGGTAGTCTTTCCTTAATGACTGTTCATTTAATGACGGTTTGAAGTTACAATGGCCTTGGAAAGGGTGCTTTACGGCCCACAGAGCACTTCTGGCTGTCATAAACTGTCACAACGCTCCCTCCAGTCATGTGGCCACATTTCAGATGCTTGGCAACCAGCCTGCATTTATGACCGGTTGCCAAGCGCCCCACGATCATGTCATCGCCATTTGCAACCTTTTCTGCTGGCTTCCCCAGAAAGTCAACAGGTAAGCTGGCAGGGAAGGTTGCAAGTGGAGGGGAGCTGAAATCCTTCTGTGGTCTGCAGGAATGGAGTTCAAATCCTGAAGATTTGAGCTCCATTCCTCCAACCCCATGAAGGATTTCCCCTCTGTGCACAGAGAGGAGGGGAAACCCCTCAGTGGTCTGCAGGAACATTTGAGAGCAAAAGGGTGGAGCTGAAATCCTTCAGCAGACAACCCTTTCACTCTGTCTGCTTAACGACCCAGGAGATCGCTTAACGACTGCAACTAGGAGTGCCCGGATTGCAGTTGTTGAGCGAAGCAGTCACCCGGGTGTCTTGCTTAACGATCGCTTCACTCAACGATCAAGATTCCAGTCCCAATTGTGGTCATTAAGTGAGGACTACCTGTACTTGGACTACAGCACTTTTGAAGGCTTTCCAGTGCTATGGAACAAAGTTGAACAAATTGCCAAAAATACCACAGAAACACGAGTAGAATCAATGTTAGCCTCATAATTGCTAACACTATATATATATATATTAAGCATCCTTAATATTTTGCCCTTTGCTGACTATATCAGATTGGGGAACTAAACTTGGGATATGGCAAAATCAACAGTATACATTCAATACAGAATACACTTAGACACTTAGAGGATGGTTTTAAGGGGGAAATATTTTATGTAAACATAGTAACCTGGAGTAATTTTAATGTTTATAAATAATTTGATGTAATCAGCAGGTGGGTACAATGGGAGGGAATCTAGAACTTAATACTGTTTTTTGTTTGTGATTGTTTTTAATCTTCATTTTTCTTTTCTTTTTTTCATCAGGTCAAGTGTGTTTGTTTTAGATAATGATAAATAGTGGTGACATCAACATCCAGATTAATCTTTAGAGTTTTATAGCAATTTATAATTATTTCTCAAGATGATATAATGAGCCTAGTATTACATATTCAATTATTTATTTAATCAATGAAATGTTGATATTTTATTTTCCATCCACTATAGCCTTTCTCCTTTTTTTTTTCTTTTATGTAGCTGTTTATTCTATTCCTTAAATGTTTTAAAATAAATAAGGAAAAGGAAAAAAAGACCAGGTTATTTGCTATTTTTGTTCCGCTTACCTCTATATCTCTGAACCTTGCGATGTCTTCATAGCCTGGACAAGCTCCTTCGGTTAACAGAAACAAGCGCTTCGGCGTCAGTGCGATTTTCCCAACCCCTTTGTTAGTTTTTACTGAGCTTGATAACTTATAAACACATTCATTTTTGTCCAGGTGTTCTATTACTCTTGGTGGCAGGTTTACATCTTGAGCTTCTGCTTCTGTTTCCTTCCAGTAGTTATAAAAGTCTTTAAACGTTTCTGGGTCAATTTGTTTTTGCTGCCCTTAAAATTAAGAAACCGTTTATCACAATGAACGTTTCTAGATCCCCCGTATATCAAGCTGTACAAAAAGGGGAAAGGTGGGAGCTGCCCGGGATAATTCTAAGAGGTATTCTGATACTGTATATTTCTGTCTTCGCGTTTTTCATTCGTAAACCACTGAACAGGGCCCACTTGGGGGAGTCTCCTTACTTTTCCCACTCTACTGCTGTTGCTCCAGATCCTTTCAGCCCAGCCTACTTCAAAAAGTGAATGTGTAACAGGCGAGAAGGAAAAGATGGGAAATAACAAAATGTACTGAGGTGAGGTTCAATGCCCTTCATTTGCACAATTGCCTCAGTGTTAAAAGTAGACACACCTGCATAGGTCCAACTATTCAACCACATCCCACTCCAAATAAACAGTTGTTCTTAGCGGCTCTGTGATGACCACCTCTTCCCCCAACGCCCACTCACTCACAAAGGCTCCTCTTTTCTCCTTGTGCTGAGTGCCAAAAAGTCTTTACAGCTATACGCTATAAACTGAAACAGATCAAGGGGAACGTGGAATGTGGCCGTTGCAGGAGAAACCTGGGTGGACGAGTGAAGGACAAGGGCAAGAAGGAAAAACCAGGCGCAAACGTACACAGGCTCTGCTTCCTCCTCCACCCAGATTTCCGTAACTGCAAATTTATTACTGCTATTAAGCCAAGCACAGCATTCTGGTTGATGATGCTGGCTTGTGGAAAGTTCATTTGCCCTCACTTTCTTGAGCACCAAGAAGGGACACATCTACCCACTGATGGAAATGGCAGAAAATGATAAACTGACTTGTTTATTAAAAGAAAATTCAAATAAT